GATTTTGATCTTTTTTCATGTATTGATAGAATGATTTATTTGGTTCTTTATATTTTTGAGGTTTATTTTGATTATCTTGCTGTTTTTGTCTACATTCGGAAATACTATGTCCGTATCGTCGGCAATAATTACACCATTTTTTGAAAGATGGTTTGCCTTTAAAGTTTGGGTTCTTTTCGTAGATATTGAGTATTTCAGTGATTTTTTCAACGAGGTCTGTCTCTGATTCCTGTATATTATTAATATTAGTGGGAGTCGTTTCAATTCTGTTAACGTATTGTAATTTCAGATTTTCCGTTTCTTCTAGTTTCATCGTGATTTCTGCTTGTTCTAATTTGTCTACTAGTTTTCGAAAATCTAAATCGGGTTCTCGAATTGAAGAAGGATGTGATGCTCTCTTTTTTATTGCTATTTTCCTTAATTGTGGTGTTAAGGTCATCATTAAGATTTCTGTCATCTTTGTGTTTTTATAGTCATGTGTATTTAATGAATATGCTTTTCGAACTAGTGTTTCGATTCGTACTGCTATTTGCTTGATGGTTTCGTTTGGTAATCTGCGAATTTCATTACATAAAACTCTTTGTTGTTGTTTGTTTCTTTCGGAGTCAAACATTTTTGAAAATTCTTGTGTAAATCTTTTCCAGTTTGATTTTATTTCTAGAGGTAGTACTGAAAACCATTTTTGGGCTGCGCCATCTAAGGTTGTTTGTATTAACGCTGTGCGTCGATGTATCCAATTTTGATGTAGTGGCGTATTAATTGGTTCAGGTCCAATATTTAAAATCAGGTTTGCTGTTACTGCATTTAAATAATCTTCTACAGAGTATTCAGGGTCTGTTCCTGTGAAAACCATTAAAGGTTTGTTTGATGTTATTGATGATCCACCCATAAGGTATGGATTCATTGTCATTTGTAATGATTCTGCTGCATTTGGCATTTGAGAAAAATTTGAAAGTTGGTTTCTTGTTATCTCATGTTGTTGGAGATAATATGGGAGTGGTATTTCATTTTGCATTTGTGATGGTTGATACGAGTGTGCAGTCATTGGATTTTGTTGTTGAATTGGTTGAAAAGATTGTGTATTAATTGGATTTTGTTGTTGAATTGGTTGTTGATTTTGTGCATCTATTGGTTGTGGAGAAAAATTTCTATGATTTGTACGTGTTCTCTGTATTCCTTGTCTACGATATTCTTGAGTATTTTGTGCAAATATATCTGGTTGTAAGAAATCATCATCTGAGGATAAATAATCCATTTGATAAGATGTCTGTTTTTTATTTTTATTTTGTTGAAAAAATGGGTAATTTTCACTGTGATCCCGTGGAGGATTTGTTTGGAAATTTGTTGAATTAGGTTGGGCCATTGGGTTATCCCAATTTCGAGATCTTGTATATTGGTTAAAATTTCTTTGTGGTTGATTATATGTTTTTGATGGATGTGTATAATTATAATTATGGTCTGCAAAGTTGTTTCTAGTGAATGTTTTGCGTGTTTTTGGTGGTATTGTCATGGGTCTGTATGTTTGGTAATCCATATGTGAATATTTAGGGGCAACCGAAGGTTTAACGGTTGATTGTAAGGTTACCTGTGTTTGTGAAGGATTTGTATTTCTTGGTGTTGTTAAATTTGGGCGTATTGGTGAAATACTTTGTTGTGTAGTTGTTGTGTGTACAATTTCTTCATTTATGAAGTGTGATGGTGTCTGGATATCTTGTTGAGTAAGATTCCTAGTTCCATTGAGGTTTTCATTGTGTATAACTGTAGAGTTTAAACTATTATTTTGTGTATCGGGTAAAAATGTATTATAGTTTAATGGTGTTGCATCAATTGTTAATGGTATTACTCTTACATAATCTCTTATGTAAGATATTGTACCTATTGCTTGACTTGAGATTGATTGTGGAAAGCTTATAAATGCGGGATGAGACCATTCGGGGTCCCAAACATAATCTGATTGTTCTGTGATAGCGGTATCATCGTTCGAATTTTGGGGTCTAAAATTTTTTCTTGCTTGTGCAATTAAATCAATATTGTGTGTGAAGTAATCTATTATGAACCATGCCAAAATTTTTTGTAGATCGTGTTTTGTATGTTGTGAAACGTCGTCTTTCGTGAAATTTTCTTTAATGATGTTTAAATAACTAGAGAGTAGTGTGATTTCATGTCGTACTTTCAAATGTTTAGATGTTTCTTTTGGTGAGACATTTGTTATTGGGATTTCGTTTTCTAATATCGAAATATAACTATATATTATTGCGAAAACTTCATTGGTGAATATGGAGTTTGCTCTTTGTGAGTTATGGTATTGGATGCTTTTTATATATTCTGAAAAAACTTTTGAAAATTCTAAATCAAGATCGTCTGTTTGAATTGTATATTTTCTATTATTATGGTTTGGTGAGGTGAATTCTATGGAGTAGATTCCATACTGTTGTGTTATGTTGCATATATCTTTTAGATAGTGATCTATGATTTGTCTTTTGATTTTTACATCGGGGAACTCTGTTTTACATGGACTGATTCCGGGTTCAAATAAATTTACGAGTAAATTTTGACAAAATATGTGTTGTCCTCTATCAGTATCTGCGTCTACTATAAAAGGAAAGATTTCATCATCATCTGGAGTTTCTTCACCTGGGGTGTGCGTTGAACTCATTTTTTCGTTCGATTACTGTTAATATGTAATTATTAATGTGTCGAATTGGTTGATTCCAATTGTATAAATGTACTGGTTTGTGTTTGTACTGCTTTTTTATTCTTCTTTTTCCTCTTTGTGATGAATTTGAAGTTGTTTCTGAGTCAGAGAAATATAATTGATCGTGAATTGGGCAATTTTTATCTATTGATTCTTTTAGTTTGTAAAGTTCGTCTAAACTGTTGGTTTCTGATTCTGAAAATGCGTTTCGATTTTTTGAAAATCTTTTTCGTGTTATTTGTCTTTGTTTCGTTATTATTTTTCTTTTTAGTGTTTGTCGTTTTGTTCGAATGTATCCAACTGTTTGTGTATGAGGTGTGATTACAAGGTCGTATTTTTTGTTATCTATTTCACAATTGTGTAAAACGATTGTTTGTTTATTTCCTAGGTTTTTAAATGACATAAGGTTTAGAATGACGGATGCAAAGGGTTGTTAAATGATTTCTATTTTCCTAAACTGTTAGTTCTTACGATTTTTTGGTTAGCTTAACCTGGATCTGTTTGTTCAGGGTTGGAGAGAAAAGTATATCGATTCCGAAGAATGATTTTTTACTTTCTCGTGGCTAGTATAAGTTAAGGTGTTAACTTACTTAATCTTACTTAGGGGTAGTGATTGTGTTCAAGGGTTGGAGAATAGTAAATCGATCCACAAGGTTCAGGTATAATTAGAACGCGAGTAGTTCGTTAGATACTATTTTAAACTTACTAAGTCTAAGATTTATCCTGGGTCTGGTAAGAGGGGGGGTCAAGTGAAGGATGAATAACCGAAGTTCTTCACTGTTTATCCTAATTTGAATGATTAGTTTTGTTTAAAAATTTCTATTAGTCTTAGGTCTTTAGAAAGGGTTGGGTAGTGAATCGACGTTTGAGGTCGTTAGACACTAATTAAGTGGGTGGGGGAGAACAAAGTTGTTCTGTTTGATCCAAGGATAAGCCTTGATGATCAAATTTGAAATTTAATTAAGTAGAAAATGATTTAAGATCCAAGGATAAGCCTTGATGATCTGGTTTTAAAATTAAGTGAATTTAAGTTTTAATAAAATTTTAAATGTGTGTAAAGGAAAGATTTAGTGTTTTGATGATATTAGTGGGTTTATGATTGCTGTTATGTTTTAGATGATGAAGCTGGAACAACAGGATGATTTATGATTACTAACCATTTATTGTCATGCTACTAATTTTTATTTTTATTTTCCAATAAATATTTTTCAACCATGTTTTGTATAATACTGCAGAGTTTTAGGAAAACGATCTTAGATCTTTTTATCAATCGTTCTTGTATATTAATAAATTTGTTTAGCGCCTGAAATGATTTTGAAGAGTAACTTCAAGGTTTTATGTTTGCAAATGGAAATCTAAATTCATTGCAAGTAGTATTCGAAATATAAAAGTTTGTTCTGGCTTTTGCCGAACTATCATATAACTATACGGCAAGTTTCTACTTTGTCGTATGTCGTCTTTGGTTGGAGGTCTTCTTCCAATTCCGGGTAGTTCTGTTATGGTTCGGAATATTGGCTCTGATCTATTGAGTCGTAGAGACATTTCGATTAAATTATTGTCGTATAACATTTTTGTAAATGTTTTTGTCTAATTTCTAATCTATTTTGGTTAATTCTAATCTATTAAGGTCTTGTTCGAGACTTATGGTCGCACCAGATGAGTTATGACCGAAGTGTAACTCATAGAGTAATTTCGGATAGGGTACACCGTCTGCTCGTCACGCTATCTTATTTTCGGCCGGATAGATTCGTGCAACTTCTTAGTCTAATACCGATCCTAATCTTACTCTTATACTATCTAGTCTCAGGTTGTTTAACTAGTCTCTGCTAGGCTCAATAGATCTAGGGTATACTGGTTTATTGCGGCTGCTGAAGTGCTCGGGAGAGTCCAACTAATTTCTAAGTTAAATTCAAATCTCTCTGGTGCTGAAATTACAAGTAACTTCAGCACTTACAAATAAGTGGGTTGTTAGTTAGATGGATCATGATTGGTTAATATTAAATACTTTACATTGGTAAAACATTTAATTTATCCAATCATAAAATGTAGTTTAGATCAGGTTCCAGTCGCTCAACTAGGTGGGCATTATAAAATCCGTTTTTGAATGAAAAGTTCCTGGCATCATTAGATATTTATTTAATCATATTCATACTGGATATTCCTTTGTTAAACTAATCCATAATATCAAATCAAGTCCAGGTTTCAATGGAAATTTATCAACCAACCGATGAAATAATCAAAAAAAAAATTAAATAGTTTTGAGATAACAATTTAAATTTGGGGCAAATATTAAGAAGAATCCTACTTCTCTGTTGCCTCCACGGCAGTCCTGTCTATCTCATTGAAAGAGTGAGTCCTCTCCTGCTGTCCACAGTTGCTAGTGGCTGAGGTGCCACTGTTCTGACTCTGGTTGTATCTCCTGGGTTCAGAAGAAGCCAATTGCAACATACAGTCCCACTCACGGTTCCACTCCTCATCAGACCAGATTAGCCCAGACTGAATGGGCGAAACTTATTAACTCAAACATTCGTCATTTTAGCCTACTTTGCCAATGCTATATTAATAACAACTGTTTTTACCATTTCTAGAAGTGAGAACACTGCAGAAACTCAACCTGCAGCATCGGTTAAATTGTACACAGTCGCTTTTAAAATTTCTAGCCGTTTTGTCATGTTTCATGAGCCCAGTAACATCATACAGATTTATTGTCTTAAGAAACTAACCAACTTTCAGTGAGAGGCAAAAAAACTGGATAGAAAACGTGACACATACCTGCTGATTAATGAGTGTCTGTGAGTACCTCCATCGCCGCTTGAAAGCTTCCAGATGTGCGCTTCCGTCCTTCAGTGGTGCATAGAGCGCCTTCCGAAGAACTAATTCTCTGTCGTGGAAACCCCACATGGCCAGGGATGCTGCATGTAACAGACAGTTTCCATCACCCGTTGTTACCATAGGGTAAAGAGGCTGCGCTGCTCCATTTTCAGTCCACCAGTTCAAACGTCCTGTTAAGTATTGAATTCATTATAAGGCTCAAAACCAGGATGATAATGGGGTGCGACGGAATATGATGGAAGGTTGGTTTGTAACAAGGTCTCATAACGCTCCAGATACAAAAAATGGCAAAGTATGACGAAAGTTAAAACTAACTAGGCAGCTTATAGGACTTGTCGTGAAGCTTTGAAGACTCCCATTATAATAGCGGGGTTCAATTCAACGTTAGGTTAAATTTAAAGAGCCGTCAAATTATATGCGTAAAAAGGACCTAAATCATCCTCTGTTCGACGTAATAGATTTCATCTACACTCGTATACACTGTCTCGCGAACTTTGTTCATGAAATAAAGCCAAATTTAACACAGCGGAGATGCGGAGCTTCGCATCACATGCGATATAAAAAGCGAAAAAAGTTTTTTAAAGAAAATTAGATATTAAAAAACACTATGTGAAGCAAATTTGTCTTAAGTCTCGATAAAAAACAACTACAGGCCCAACTAAAGCTGGAGGTACGTGTTTAACATTGAATGAGTTTGCTATAATGTGGCACGAAAAGTGTGATTTCAAAATTGGACTTTGCCTGAAACAGTAGCTGTTTCTCTACTAAAATAAATCATTAGAGCAAGAAAATTTGAGATAACCAATTTTCCCAAGGAGAACATTTCTCTTACAAAAATTAGGGAATCGCTGCTTCTGCGGGAACAATTATCGCAACCCTTCTTCCAAGGGAAGTTGTTTCAATGGAACTGAGATAACATTTCTCTGACAAAAATTAGGGAATCGCTGCTTCTGCAGGAAAAACTATTGCAACCCTTCTTTCAAGGGAAATTCTTTCAATGGAACTTTTCATCTCCAATTTGATTGTGTAAATTTTACGAAAAATCAAAAAAATTCTAAAAAGCGGTCGAAAATTCTAAAAAAAACGTTCAAAAGACTTTCAAAATCCATAACGTTTTTCTGCAAAAAGCAAATTATGGCAGCTTAAGCAAAGAAGATTTCCAAAGCCGGGTTACTCGATTGAATACAGCCTCAGAATTGGCACGGTAGTTTTAGCGTAAAGTTAATAAGTTTCCGTGAAGTCAATAAGTATCCAGATTTGAGAGGTTAGTTTTCGAAGAAATCCGGAAAGATCTACAAAATGGTCACAAATCAAAAAATTTAAACATGCAGAAATAATGCATTGCAAAGCTTAAACATGGCAAGATAGTGAAGCCCGCCTTTAAATGTATAATAGATAATAAAGCGATCAATTTTTTAAAAAAATTTCTTACAAATTTACAAAGTTGTTTACGGAAAAAAGTCTAGCTCCCGATTACAAAACACTTGCTCTCGAAAGTGCAAAAAATGCATAAAACTAGTCACCTTCCAAATTATTTTTTCGGGTCAGAAATATTAGTCTTACAACCCAGCCTGCGAATAAATAAATTGTTATTTCTTGAAACGTCCAAAAATAACAGATGATTTCAAATATTTTCAAATATACAGTTGATTTGAATTAAATTTCATTTTACACTTGAATCGAACTCAAATTAAGAAATCCAACTGGAAACTGAAAACTTTACCTGATTCCTGGAGAGCGACTAGGGTTGATTTTTCAACCAATTCTCGCTCCAAATAGTCTCGAAAGCCCTTTTGATACATGCTAAGGTCCGGTATTGTAATCGAAAAGCAGGCATCCGGGAAGGGTTTGGGCGAAGAACTGACTTCTGTGGGTTTGTCTGATATGGTCGATAAAGAAGATTTCAAAGAACTTAGAGCAGCCTCTCCCGAGTTATGTCTGTTTCGCTTATGCATTTTCTTAACAATTCCTTTATTATCTTCAACGCGCGATATTCCACGCTGCATCGCAGGTGGTGGTGGCAATCTTGGTTCATCTAAATATTTGAAACTCATAATTTACAATGAGAACGAAAAAAGTTGCCTCTCTGGCAAACGCTGAGACTCAAAACAAACTTAAAATACCTTTTGCGGGGCCACTTGCGTTGGATGGGGCACCAGACTTTTTAGGACAATCCAAGACATCTGGCCATTGGTCATTAGGGATATTAGCTAATTCAACATACGCTCTCAATCCTTCATCCAGATCCCAATTAGTTCCTAGCAACAAAAACAATACATTAAGAAATGATATTAATGAAATATAACCCTTATCGTTCACTAGTGTAAAGGGGCAGGAGCACAGACCATTTAGAAGATCCCAGGCCAAGGCAGGATCACTGCCGGTCCTGGCGATAAACTCTGATAACAATGAGTCTTTCACGACGTCATCTGGCATTCTAAAAAGAATAATACTCTTTTTTCAGGAGAAGAGTAAATCAGGTCGAAAATTATCATGATAACCGGTCAGTTACTACACTATTCCTTCATTCTTCTGCTGGCGTTAAAAAGTGGTTAAAGGTAGTAAGTAGGCGAGTGGAAGAAACACCCAAGCTGTCAGGAGAATCATAGCCTCATTGTTGTGATAAATTTAATAAATAGAAACCCCTTTTGATACATATGCTAAGGTCCGGTATTGTAATCGGCCCTTTACGCAGAGGAAATCAGTGAAGCTGAACCGACAGAGGAGTTTGTTATCTGGCACGACGTGATTAACAACTCACTGTCCCCACACTTCAACAACTACGATTCACCTCTGAGTGGTCCAGAGTTGGCTGATTTGTTGAAAATTGTTTTTCCGCGAATAAGATCAATCGTTGCTGCCAAGAACCGGAAAACCGAGACATTGCTTTACGAAAAGTTGAGATCGATCCATCGTTAGCAGAAAAGCATTCAAGATTGTATCAAAAACCTATTTATATGTGACATTCGACCAGAATGGCCAAAATGCAATCTCTGCAGATTTTATAATTTTAGCAGCGAGCCTTCCGAGTTAGTGATTTTGGAGGATTAAGAACGTTATTTGAACGATTGAACAAAACGTGAAGGTTGAAGGATTCGGAAATTGCTAATTTTTAAATTTTCGAAGTGATTACGTAACATTTCTGAGAAACGTCAGAAACGGCCATTTTGACAGAAAAGCTAAAAAGCAGCAGAACAACATTAGCTGCGATCGCGAGAAGTACGGAAATTGTGAGAAAAAACGACAACAAATCACGGAGTTAACAGAGAGCACTCCGAGTTGCAACTATTGTGTCGCTACCGGTGAAGGGTGGAAGACAGCCTTCCGGATTACGTAGAAATCAAGATTAACGAGCTTGATTCAGTGGATTCAAGAATCCGGAAGGGTTTCGGAACTGAAACTTTGATTCTTTTATATAAACTTTTAGCTTCTTGTCATGTCCTGAATTGAATTTAATTAACAACTAGATTCATTTTGATAAGGATGAGAAGCTAGGAGTTGGGGGAAAGGGTTGAACCATCTTCGATGGAGATGATGATTTTTATCTACTGAACAAAAACAATAATAATTCAATAAGTAGTAGCCCTGTTTTTAGGAGTGACCTCGTGGTCTGGGGATACTGAGACCCAGCCATGAGCTCACTATTTCTGCATGTAATTAAGTTAATTTGAGTGTTTTGACCGAAGCCGAAAGCAGTAACGTTTTTTGTCGACCCGATGTTAGAAAAGACCACCAAAAGTACTGGCTTGGCAGAGATGGTGAAAAGCATATAAAGCTCTGTTTAGACGTTAGTCAGTCTTCTTCCTATAATGTAATGTGGATTTTAACGATACCCGTTCTGCCCAACTTGAGAACTCGAAAATTGGCAAATCCTTCTTGGCCGCTTTCCCACTCGACTGGTCACCTGTTCCAGTCCAGTCTCCTATTGGTTCAGCTCAAGTGTCCCTGAACCACTTTCCCACTCGGCTGGTCACCTCTTCCAGTCAAGTCTCCTATTGGTCCAGCTAAGTTCCAAGCTATCTGAAAACCCTTGACAACGCCCCACTTCGGGCACTTTATTCAGTTTACTGGTTTAAATTGCTAGGTTGATCGAAACGATCGAACTTGTAAAACAACATGGGTATACTATTTAATTAATATAAAGGTTTGATCCAACTAACCTGGTGTCAAAGTCACTGTCTTTTTTCGTTTTATAGTTTTTGTTCCTTTTTCTATTCTTTTTTGGTTTTTGTTTTGCTTTTTGTCTTTTTGCTCGTGTTTTTGTCCCCCTAGTTGCCCCCCTTTACTCGGTTAGCTAAGCCTCGTTCGGAGAGCGTACCAGGAAATTTTCTCGAGTTTTCTTAAAAAGCTATCACGGTACAACCGGAAGGTTTGCACGTTCCTGTCGAACCGTACCGCCGGTACTCTAGAATGGGCATTCAGCCCGAAGCTGTCTCAAGTGGGTTCGACTCCGTAGTCTTGATGTCGTAAACACCCAGGAGCGCCATAAAAACACTATGTAACATTCGTCTACTGCAGTCACACATGAGGCTTAAGAAGAATAAGCCATATAACCACTGGCTCAAGGGTCAGGGACACCATCTCTTGTGTTTTTCTACCTCAAGAACGGTCGGAGCCAGTTCGGTTCGTTTGTGACATGAGACTACGACCCGTTACAGCTTAAAGGCTACTACTAAAATATCACCCCACTCTAGAATTAGAAACGTCCCCATACTTAGGTCTCTAGATACCCAAAATACATGAACGCCGTTAAAAACCGGGTTGGAACAATCCGTTAAGTTACTTTTTCTTAGACAGTGGAACTTTGATCCATTTCAGATGGATCAACCTAAAACTCGCCTTACCTCAACATAACAATTATAAAACACACTCTAGGAATTTAAATTTGTACTCACATAGTAGCACGCTCAAGAAGTGGGAAAGAATCCAGTCGGTAATTAACTCAAGAATTAAATAACGTAACTAAATGAGTCTAATGTTTTATAGTTTGAACAATGAGAACGAGTTTACACTCTAGACAATAGTTTTCTTGTGAACCATTAGGACACTCAAGTTGTCCACCTTTCCACCGAAGGTTCACTCTAGTCCAGTTCCGAATAACACTCCAGTCGCTATAATCCAATTCGTGGGAATGCTCTCGTCTCTGTCACAGATGGGACAGCTCTACTCTCGATTATGATAGTGATGGAAATTGCGAATAGCAATTTCCTACTGCTTTTTCTTACAACTTTCCCGCGTGTGTGACTCAATCGTTCTGACTTCTCTTTTCTGATTTTCAGTTATCGCGAGAAAATCGTGCATGACAGGTTCCATTCGAAATTTTGAAAAATTAAATTTCACTCCAAAATCAAGTGTTTTTTGCTTCTCTCAAGGTCAAACTTCCGAATATGACCGACTGGCACACACTCCCCGGACTCGAGATCGATGTCCTCATCGCGTGCTGTCTTCTGCCAGTGAGTCCCAGAAAACCGAGTGTTCCTCAAGATACAGTGCCAGTGGTCATTTACAGAAGTTTGCAGCAGACTTAAGCTTATCTACACCCCAAAATTCACAGCCATGTAAAATTTTCACACTATCGCTAAACAGCAATCAAAATCTGCACACACCTGCACCCTTGAATTCTTGCTTTCCAAGCCAATCATTTAAAATTTCTTTTGTCCTATTCAATCAGGAAATTGTCATGCAGCATTTTGATTTATATAATAAATATAGAATATTAATAACAATATTTGCTTTGTTAAAACATCTTTTTCGTGAATCCAAGTTTCACCCGGATCCACGCTCAAGCCCCCTTTCCCCTCTCAAGACTCAAGATCCATACGAGCCACCCACTCATCTCGCACTCTTCGCCTTGGAGGTACTGCACCCTGAAGTACTAGATACGGCAAACTGTCTCAACAGTTCCTCTTCATCATCGGAGCTAATCACAATCTCCTCCCAAGCCTTCAGCTGCTCGTAGGATCGCATCCATTCTCTTTGCTCTTGCAACCTCCTTGCTTGGTTGGGTAGTGCCTTCACCCTAGATTCCCGGTTTAAACAAAAGGAGTTGTGCAGGCTCAAGCTCACGTTTTTCGCCAGGTCCTCCTCTAGTATCGATTCCCTCGCCTTGGTATTGTCTCTAGACATTTTACCCACTCTCTTCCATCCTGTCGTGATTGCATTACGATGGGTTAACAGGGGTCTCTTGAAAGCTTCCGGCCCAATCTCGGCCTGGAACTGTCGATACTCCTTTTGATGTTTTCTCATGTGGTCTTTCGTTGTCATGTACAACCAGGACGTCAGCGTTGCCCGAAACCATGGGAAGTACCTCAAACGGCTCCAGACATGTCTGACTTCCGTTGGTATGGCGAATACCTTGCACGCAGTCTCAAACAACTCGAGTCTCCTACTGTAGTCTATCGCGTATATTGACTCTGCCGTTGGCGTCCCCGCTTCCCGATACTTCGTTATATTCTCTTCTATCCATCTCAGAGCCAAGATCGTACTCACTACCAAGATCGTCACCTTCTGTCGGTGATCCGGTAGTCCGATCGACCGGATTTCTTCCATATCCCACACCAGGCAAAGGTTCTTGTGATCTGGATACCACACCGTTTGCGCTAAACAGTGGCATGGGCATTCTCCATGGGTGATTTCAATGCTCCTGAGGTTACGCTCCCCCGAGGCTTCCAAGAGAGGCTCAAGCTCCATCATTTTCTCATGCATCGTGTCGTTATCTTCCAGGCTTGGAGCACTTCCCACAGGTTTTCCGATCACGTTTTGTTTCTCGTGATCGCTTGTGTTCTCTCTCTCCAACTTCAAAAGTTCTTCTCCCCAGATTTCACTCAAGTCATCTCTCAATTCTTTTGGTACTGTCCCTTTGATTTTTCTCAACAACTTGTGCGAGTGATGCGATATCCGAGCCAACCTCACGCACTTGGGCACTGAGAAGGCCTTGTCCACCAGTACTCTCTGGCTGGATGCTTCCACCATCACCACGTGCAGTGGGTAGTGACTTCCGCACAAGTTGGCCATCATTGACCCTATCAGCGATTTCGCGTTCAATGGCAAGCCATAAGCTTCGCTCATGGGAAATCCCATTTCCGCCTCGAGACCAACCTTCCAGCTCCGGATGTGTTTTTGAGTCACCTGCAACACCCCGGGCCATGATTCTACGCTCAACGCCGTCACTAAATGATGTTCAGATTCTAGTCTTTCCAGTGACTGCAGACTACACATTCTCGAGAAGAATCCGAGAGCTGTCGCTATATTCACCGTGGTTCTCGCGTAACACTCCGCTACTATTTGCACTTCACTTTTCTCCCTTTCTGTTATGTCTTCGAACCAAGTGACCAGGTCTTCTTTTTGAAATGACAGTATTCTAACGCATGACCGTCCATCGCAGGTGTGCTCTCCGTTTCCACACGTCGAATCCAGACAACTACCCGGCTCCAATT